ATTATCAACAACTGCAACATCAACAACAACATCAACAACAACAACAACAAAAGCAAGAAAATCAACGACATCAACAACAACAACAGCAACAACAACAGCAACAACGACATCAACAACATCAACAACAACGGCAACAACATCATCAACAACAAAATTAACAACAACATCAACAACAACAACGACAACAGCAACAACATCAACAACAACAACATCAACAACAATAACATTAACAACAACATCAACAACAACAACGATAACAGCAACGACAAAGCAAACAAAAAATCATTATAACAAGCAGATAGAAGAAAAATTTCCCATTAACAATTGAAGGCATGACATGGCCGAGATGATTGATACATCCATTCATTTATTCATTTTTCATTTTTCCTCCTTCATTCATTTTTTATTTGTTCGTTCATCACTCATTCATACGTTCCTTTATTCATTCATTCATTTATTCATTCATTCATTCATTCATTCATTCATTCATTCATTCATTCATTCATTCATTCATTCATTCATTCATTCATTCATTCATTCATTCATTCATTCATTCATTCATTCATTCATTCATTCATTCATTCATTCATTCATTCATTCATTCATTCATTCATTCATTCATTCATTCATTCATTCATTCATTCATTCATTCATTCATTCATTCATTCATTCATTCATTCATTCATTCATTCATTCATTCATTCATTCATTCATTCATTCATTCATTCATTCATTCATTCATTCATTCATTCATTCATTCATTCATTCATTCATTTACGATCACTCGTTCATAGGACAAAAAATAATAATAATAATAATCATCATAATAATAGTAATAATAATAATATTAATAATAATAATCATAATAATAGTAATAATAATAATAATGAAATTTAAGTACGTTAATAGATTGGAGATTTTAAAGAAGATACGTCAAGTTTTGAAGCTTTGAGATCTACTACTACTGCCACTACTACCACTATTACTACTACTACTACTACTACTACTGCTACTACTACTACTACTGCTACTACTACTATTACTACTAATACTACTACTACACTAAAATTATTGATAATAGCAACAGCAGCAGCAGCTGTAGTAGTAGTAGTAGTAGTAGTAGAGTAGTAGTAGTAGTAGTAGTATTAGTAATAGTAGTAGTAGTAGTAGTAGTGGTAGTAGTAGTAGTAGTTGTAGTAGTTGTCATCATCGTCGTCATCATAATTTCAATCAGCAAGATGTAGATTCAATATCGGGGACAGTCGCTCTTTGAAATTTTTTCATCATACATCACATACATCATCATCATCATTGTCGTCATCATCATCATCATCATCGTCATCATTATTACCATCATCACCCTCGTTAAAGTACAGTCATCAACATCATCTTCATCATTTTCATACTTTTATATATCATTTTCATAAAATCCTCACTGGCATAATCACAGAATCACAGACGCTATCATTAAAATGGCATCAACCTTTCAACCAGCCAACCAACCAACCAACTAACCATCCAGCCAACCAACCAACCAACTAACCATCCAACCAACCAACCAACCAACCAACCAACCAACTAATTATCCAACCAACCAACCAACCAACCAACAAGCCAAACTAACCAACCAACCATCCAACCAGCCAACCAAATTTCTCACTTTTAATGATAAGTTCGACATTGAATCGTGACCTAAGCAGCATTGGTCTGCACTCTACCTCAAATCGACCGGTATCTTTAAACGGTATGTTGATGTTACTCAAGACATTTATCGGAAAGCCGGTTTCGGTATCTTGGTCTTTAGTCCAAATGATCGGTCGATTAAACAAATCGAAATGGTCGGCATGGAACTGACATTCCAGGTTGAGACTCGAACCCGGCTGCACTATGTAAACTTGGCTCTCGGAGGAGATTTGGATGTAGAAATCTGAATTTGTGGTGATGGTGGTGGTGTGGTGAGGTGTGGTGAGGTGTGGGTGGTTTTGTGGTGAGGTGTGGTGAGGTGTGGGTGGTTTTGTGGTGAGGTGTGGTGAGGTGTGGGTGGTTTTGTGGTGAGGTGTGGTTTTGTGGCGATAGTACTACTACTTCTACTACTACTATTACTATTACCACTAATAATAATAATATTATTAAAAATAATAATTTTTGTGATGATATTTTTTCATTTAAAATTAAATTCTCCGTCGGCTTATCATGAAGTTTCATATTATTCCTTCATATCAACCTGAAAAACGACTGATCATAAAAATAACTCGATGCGCCATTGGTCAATTTTTATGAATCATTAACCCGGCCGGCCAATCAGAAGTAAGTAGGTCATGGCACGTCATTTCCTATTGGCTGATTAGGCGTGACGTCATAATCACAAGATGGATGCAGACGTTACGTGATAGGCTTTCCCGCGCAAAGTAGGTCGTTAAAAGTGGCAGCGTTTGTAACTTTTTTTGTTTGTTGTCGTTGTCGTTGTTGTTGATGTTGTCGTTGTTGTTGTTGTTGTTGC